TTAAGTTGGGAGAGATATTCATTTCCACTTTTTATCGCCTGTGCAGAAATAAAAATTTCCCTCTATTATCTTCTAATTGTTTAATAACTTTATTTTAAATTTAATTCCATCACCTTATAGTCATGTGAATTCATAGTTTTATAAAATATCTATTTATACAATGTGTGCAGAGTAAAAGCATTTGATACAGACATCATGAGTTAATAACTAATTTATTAATTTTTTGACACATCTTTTTACTTTACCATTTTTAAACATAGAATTTGGAAGAATTAGAAAAATAAACACTTTTATTTCCTCCATCTAGTTTCAACAATTATCAGCATATTGCCACATTAAAAATTTTCTCGATTTATATGTGCACATATTTACATTTTCTTGCTAAAACATTTATGCTCATTGGGTGACATCATGACATTCTAATAATTCTTTAACAAATATTAAAACATTTAAAGAATGCTTCCTATATAACCATAATACTATTACTTTACCCAAGAAAATTAACAATTTTATACTAACTTCTATTGTCCAATACATATTCAAATTATTCTAATGGCTTCCAAAAGGTTATATCTGAGCCAGAGTCCCCCCAAAAATTGAGTTTGATTTTATATCCTTTTTGTCTCTTTTAATCTAGATCAGCCTCTAGCCACTTTTAAAAATTAAATTTATTGGTGTGTCATTAATTAAAAAAATTATATAGGTTTCAAATGTACAATTCTATGATACATCTTCTGTATATTGCATTTTAAAAATTATAACTTTAGAGGAGTCCAGCCAATTGGTTTGTTACATACCCTATGTTTTTAGTGGCCATATCAAATATTTTTTTAAAAAGTCATGATTTTCTTATCCTAGCATATCTTCTACATTTACAGGCTTATATTTTAGGTATCATGCATTTTTATTTAATATATTGTAATTATTTATAGTACTTTTTCTGGTGTTCAATTGGTACAGATTTGGGCAGTGGGGTCCCACAGGGAATTTCTTTTAGTTGTAACTGCTGTAGATTTGGATCTTGCCTACCCCACGTTCTGAAGATGAAATGATATGGTTTGTATAAATACATGTTACAAAATGAGTAGTAGCAATAGACACGTTTTACTACAGACTGCATTATAAAATGTAAAGATGCATATACTCTATTAATGGTTTTACTCTATTTCGTTTTCATGTAAGCTCTGTGAAATCAGGAATTAGATCTGTTATGATCTAAATGCAACACATAGTGAGTAATAAAAATATAATTTTTGAGTGAATAAATTAGTAATCCTTTAGAAATGAAGAGTGAATAAATTAAGGCATGTAGATAGGGAGACCAACTGCCTAGTTGCCTGTAACTCAGGTGTTTCTTGGGATGTAGGATTTTTGGTTCTAAAACCAGGAAAGTCTTGAGGAACTGGGATTAATTGTTTGCCCTATCTGCAGGCATATGGACATTACTTATCTCTTTTATACTATTTTAAGAAAGTCATTTGATTTTCCTTATTAAATATCTTCAACTTGAGGGACACCTTTGTAGAAAAGTGGTTGATGCAAAGGACTTAATCCAAGGCAACTAAAGATCCTCAACTGCTCCAGGAGTGAACGAGCATGCTATGTAGGCCAGAAAATTCCAATTTTCCAGCACCTGAATGTCAAACATGTCCTGCATACGCCCTCCTACAATGGTGCCAAGAAGAGTTACTTGAAACAGACACAAAAAAGTATTTTCTATACTCTTTGCCCAAAGGATAACAGTTCATAATGTTCCTCATTTTCCAGTAGTCAAGGTCGTCAACTTTAGCTGCTCATTATAATTATTCCTGAGAAGGAAAATGTAAAAATGATAGTGTTAAAAAGTGTAAGACTTGTACGCAGAAAACTATAAAACATTGTCCAAAGAAGCAAAGTAACCTAAAGAAATGGGAAAACAACTCATGTTCATGAGTCAGAAGACTTAATATAATTAAGATGGCAATATCCCCTCCCCAACTGATCTACAACTTCAACACAATCCTTATTAATTTCTCAGTTAAATATTTTTTCAGAAATTGACAAGCACGTCTTAAAATTCACATGGAACTTCAAGGGGCACAAACGAGCTGAAACAACCTTGAAAAATAAGACAAATCTGAAGAATCAGCTCCCCAGTTTCAAACTGGTTCCAAAGCCACAGTGATCGAAATAGATGATAGAAGAGAATCCAGGGTCCAAAAGTAAACCCTTATGTTTATGCTGAATTAATTTTGACAAGGTATCAAGGCAACTCACTGGGGGAAAGAACGATCTTTTCAATAAATGATGATAGGACAACTGAATATCATATGTAAAAGAATGTGCACCTCATGCTGTATTTAAAACCTTGCACCATTTAAAAAATTCCAAAGAAATCATATACAGAAGCATAATAACTAAAACTACAAAAGTATTGGGAAAAAGTCTTTAAATCTTTTTTACTTCATATTAAGTAATTTAGGTATTTTAGACACCCAAAGCACAAGTGAATAAAAATATAGATATATTGGTCTTCATCAAAATTAACAACTTTTGTGTATCAATGGACATTTCAAGAGAGTAAAAGTAAAACCACAGAATGGGAGAAAATAATTGAAAATCATGTATCTGACAAGGGACTTGGATTCAGACATATACAGCATTCTTATAACTTATCAATGAAAGACAAATAATTCAGACATATATAGCATTCTTACAACTTATCAATGAAAGACAAATAATTCAATAAAAAATTAGTGAGGACTTGACTAGATGGTCCCCCCAAAATATGCAAATAGATAATAGCCACATGAAAAGATGCTCAGCATCATTATATATGAGGGAATGCAAGTCAAAAGCAAAATGAAAAACTATTTCACACATCCTAAGGTATAAGAAAGACAAACATTGACAAGTTTTTGAAGGATGTGGAAGAAATTGGAACCTCAAATATTTTGGTGTTGCTCCTAGGTACAATGGAAAATCATTTGGAGAATTTTTATGTGGAAACTATTGGAGGTGGGAGATGAATAAATCGGGAGACCCCTTAGGAGGATATTGCAATCCAACCAAGGAAAGATGCCAGCTGAAATTAGGGAGAAGGTAATAGAGACGATGTCAATAAGACCAGTTTGTGAACTACTGAAAAGGAAATTGTTGTCTGATTTAGCAATGGATTGACTTGGGGTGGAACAGAGTAGGGACAGGATAATGTCAAAGATGCTTCCAGTCCATGATGTTCCAGGTGCAAGGAAAGAGATGCACTTGAGATGGGGAAACCCTGAAGAGGATTAGGTTGGTGAAAAAATGATGTTTGTTTATGTCCCTGTTGGACTGTCTCTGAGATATCTAAGTAGAGGTGTGAAGTAGGCAATTGAAAAATAGTGGTCTGGAGCTCATAGGTAATTTAGTGCTAGAGAAAAAAATTTGGCCATTCTTTCTTTCTGTAGGACACATTGAGGCCTTATGGACAAGATTGCCTAAGGGGAGAGTATAAATTAGAATAGAAATGTTTTCAGAACAAGATAGATGGTATAGTTGAAATATAAAGGAGATTTTTTAAAAAGCCTAGCTAGAGAGCTAGCAATAATTCTAGGAGGTGTTGAGACATAGGAGTTGGGGGCACAAGACGAGTATTTAAAATAGAGGCAGGAACCAGAGCATCTAATACTGCTAAGAAGGCTGAAAGATATTTGTCAGTGGAGGTTATTGGAGGCTTAAGAGAGAGAGAGGTCTTTGGGAGGAATAATGAAGATAGAACCCATTTCTGAGTGTGTAGCGGAAGGGAGGGAGGAATCAAATATTAATAATTTATTATGAGAGCATTAACGTGTTGCAATTAAAGTAGAAACAATGCTGTTGAGAGCATGAGACTGATTAAAATAGACAGATTGCAAAAGCAATAATATAAATTTATTGAGAAATCAGGAGGGTTGAGAAACAAAGCACATGTTGAAGAATTTGCCTTAAAAAGTAGGAAGCACATTGTGTCTGTGGTAATAAGATGGAATGAGAAGAGAATGAACCAGATGTCAAACAGGAGGTGTTTCTGAGAGCACAAAGTTGACCTGGTTTCACCCTGCTGACTTATATTTTCTCTGTGAAGAAGCTGATAGAAACATCTGCTGGAAAAAGGAAGAAGTTAGAAGGACGAGACTTTGGAGGAGGAGAGAGTTTGGGAAGTAGTAGTTCTAGAGTGTGAATAAGGAAGTAGATGAGAAAAGTGCAGAAGGCTTGCCAGGCAGTGTGGTGGGTGCATTGAAGTCGGGAAAGTTGAAGTCGTTGCACAATTCATATGAACCCCATGGGTCTCACTTTCTTCATCTGCAAAAGGAAACATAATACTTACCTTCAAGTGTAGATGTGAAAAACATGTGAACAAAAAATATGAAAAAAGATCTGTAAACCCAAACATAAAAATGCTTGGCAGGATTCACACACACAGCCAGTATCTCTCTTCCGCCCTCTGTGAATACCCTCCCTGACTTTCCCAAGTATGTCTGTGCTGATAGTATCAGGAACGATCGCAGACTTTTAGAGGAAGTCAAGTCCAACTTAATCCTTATTTTATTAACTTGTATGACTACGGATACCATGCGTTTGTTGTTCTTTATATAGAGGTGAGCACAGAATGCCTTGGGACCTTTGCGGTGCTGTGACTGTGCACTTTGAGCACCAAGCTTCACACCATTAGTTCCCACTTGTTGAGCTGACACAGTTTCTTTCTCTCTGCTGATGAGGAAGTGTTTTGAGCCTTCTCACTCAGTAAGATTAAAAACCACATGTACAATGTCACACCAAGTGGGCTCTCTACACACATGGGGAATGAGAAGATAGTCATGTACAAGGGTAAAGATGAGCATAAAAACACAGTGAGTGAACATAGAGAAAGATTTCCATTCATAACAGGAAAATGTGTTTGAGAGAGCGTAGGAGTAAACCCAGAGTGGGATATCTTAGGGCATCTCCTGCTATACACCCAAGCTGTCTAGTGTGATAGACATGAAAGCTCAATGAATCAGTTAGAGAAGTGCTCTGGGAGCAATGCATGATCTTACCAAACTGTATTTAGGGTCATCTGATATGGCCCTGCTGGATAAGGTGTGCTTCTCAGAGTCCGCTTTGGCTTTCCTGACCCCTCCCAACCATCTCCTGTATTGCTCCCGGACCTGCAGAGGCAAAGCACGCCCTGAGTCAGCTCACTGAGAGCGGTGAGAATGGAAAGACTGTGGGTGGGGGTCGGACTGTGGTACCTGCTGGCTGAGGAGGCAGTACACCAGGAAGATGAAGACGCCCTGCAGGCTGTTGATGATGGTGAAGAGATAGGTCATGGCGCGGGCAGCTGGGCCCACCTGCAGGACTCCCAGACACCACGTGCAGCCCAGGATGAAGAGCTGGGCCATTGCTTTAAATGTCAGCATCCTGGGGAGGAGGAGAAGGGAGGCCCGTGGTGCACCCAGAGCAACAGAATCAAGGCCACTGTCATCTCCACCCCATGGATGCATGTGACTAATTTGTGACTAACTTTGAATTTTCCTCTCAGTGGTTCTCTAAAAAAAAAAAAAAGTGCTATCAGGAACTGAGATGGCATTTTGACTTGGACTGAAGTAGTAATAACTCATTATGTGGTTTTCAAAAAGATCATGATGTACCATCAATGTGCCTAATTTCATTCAACTGATACCACTGAGGATGTTTTATGTGCCTGACTCTGCTGGGTCTTGGGTTTAAAAATAACAAACACAATTTCTGTTTTCAGATATCTTACAGTCTCATACAAAGGCTAAAACAAACGGTCACTTATAATATTTGTGACATGTGAGGTACCTCAGCCTGGGTCCCATCCAGTACCTGTCCTGTCTTCTCACTCTCTATGAGCTGCCCCCAGGTATGCTTTGCTCCATATAGAGCCCACTCATTCTGAGCAAGGTTGAGAAAAGCAAAGGACACCCTTAGCCTTTCAGGAGATGTGATATCTGGATAAAGAGCCTGATCTTAGCAGGTGTAGGAGTGGAGAGGAGAAAAGGAAGAGCCTCCATGGAGGTGTGGACATGAAGGTGCACAGGTAGGTGATTTCCTAAGAGATTTATAAAGATGTAGACATTCTTTGGGTATTCTCATAGGGCCATGGAAGTGACCTACATTTAACAGAACAAAGCCAATCTCTCTGTAGCTGAGGTAATTTCATGCTGGATTTATAGAGAAATGAAATGCTTTTGGCTTGCGTTTCACAGCAAACTGCAGGATCTGAGCAGGTTTCCAGAGAGGGTGGCTGCACCTTTCTCCTCTTGCCCCTTCAGAATCCCCTCAGAATTGGAACCACAGGGCCTTGTTCCTGGACTCTGCTTCATGAGGGGCAGTGCGCCCCTCTGATTATCTCACCTCGTGTTCTGGAGGGTGGAGACGTCACTGTTGAGCGAGGAGAGCTTGCTTTTCAGAATCCAGATGGTTACCAGGAAGAAAGCCAAGCTAATCTGCGGAAACACCACGAGGCACGTTGAATACAGTCCACATCTATATAGTGTCCTCCTAGCTCACTGAACACCTAACTCAGCAGGTAAGAAGCTTTCATATTTCATAGTGGTCATATAAAACCACATAAGTAAAACAAGCCAAACAAGTAAATTAGGCATATTCTTGTCCAGTAACTGGGTTGACCAAATCATCCCAATTTTCTAAGTTTTAGCACCAAAAGTCCAATGTCTTAAAAATATCATCTGTCCTGATTTAAAACTGAAACTGTCCCTCTTGGAAGACCCCTCAGTCCTGGAGAAACTGATTGCTCATCTTGCCTGAAGCCCTCCTTATACACCTGCTCTTTGACCGTCAGCTGAGCAGGAATGATGCTCTGATGTCATCCTTTCCTCACAAAGATGATGGTGCAGATGGGGCCAAGGAAGGTCCATACAAATCTCTGTTGTATATGGAGCCAGCATCTAGGACAGAGATGGAAAAGGACTGAAGAACCTATTTACCTTTGTGGCTAAACAATCAATAAATAAACATATCCCTCACTTCCCATAGTTTCTCCATGACTCCTTTATTATTTTATTATTATTATTATCATTATTATTCCTTAAGAACATTTAACTTGAGATCTACCCTCTTAGTAAATTGTAAGTATTCAATACAATATTGTTAGCCCTAGACACTACAAATCTATGTATGGTCTATAGATCTCCCAAACTTGTTTGTCTTTCATAATTGAAACCTTTTTATTCCTTTGATGGTGGTGATGGTTTTGAGGGTGTATTCTTATCCCCAAATTCATTAGGTTGTATACATTAAACATGTACAACTTTTTATACATCAATCACATCTTAATAAAGTGGTTTTTAAATTTTTTAATTCTTTTTTAAAAACTCTGTTAAGTCTTGGGCCCCAGAAGTGCTTGCAGAAATAAATATAAGCTCTTAAAAGAATTGATAAATTAATTTATGGTTAATAAAAACAGAAGAGTAGATACACAGAACAGACTAACAGCTGTCAGGGAGGAGTGGCGTTGGGGAACTGGATGAAAAAAGGTGAAGGAATTAATAAAAAAAAAATATATATATATAGTGCACATAGACACAGACAACAGTATTGCAATAGCCAGAGGGAATGGGGTTGGGGGAAGGTGGAAGTGAGCGTAGGGGAGATAAATGGTGGCAGAAAGAGACTTAACTTTGGGTAGTGAGTGTACAATGCAGTGTACAGATGATGTTTTATTGAACTGTACACTTGAAACCTGCATAGGTTTACTCACCAGTGTTACCCCAATAAATTCAATTTAAAAAATTTATGGTTTATTGGACAAATATTGTGTTTCCTCAGTATCAGGACTTCTGCTTGGCCTGAAGATCCAATTGCAATTAAGATAGACTGGTCTCAGCCCTGGCCACATGGCTCAGTTGGTTGGAGCACCATCCTGTACACCGAAAGGCTGTGGGTTTGATTCCCCAGTCAGGGAGCATACCTAGGTTGTGGGTTCGATCGATCCCCGGTTGAGACATACAGGGTGAGGGACGGATCTATATTGCTCTCTCATGTCAATGTTTCCCTCTCAAATCAATAAACATATCCTCAGGTGAGGATTATAAAAGGTAGGCTGGTCTCAGTCCTCAGGAAGGCCCCAGCTGGGTGGAAAGGTCACCAATTAAACAGCAGAAACAATCAAGGTGATAAGTTTTGTGATCAAGTGTGAGGAGCTGTGAGAACACATAGCTGGATCAATAGCCTAGCCTGGAGTATAGGCGGTTCAGGTAGCTGGGAAGGGTCCCCCCAAAAAACTGATTGTGTTTATGCTGAGATATGAAGGATGAGCAGGTGTAAAGAAGGTGGGAAAATTTGAGACATGTAAGATGATGGTAAAAAAAAGATGATAACTATAACCTTACACAGTACTAAGACAGGGCTCACGTACATCACATAATTTATTTCTCATGACAACATACAGATTCAAGTAATGACAGGTCAGGCATCTGATGCTTAAGGAAACAAAGTCAGTAACTCAAGGCCAAGTGAGATGCTTGTGAATGACTCGGGAGGTGTGAGGACCATGGAGTTAAATGGATCTACCAGAGGATTCAAAACAAACACCACTAAGGCTGTGCTGGTATACTGCACCCTGTGGGCCACCTGGAGCCACCACCTGATTTTGCAAATGTGTTTTACTGGGACACAGTTAAACTCATTCCCTTACATATTGTCTATGGCTGCACTTATGTTACCAGAGCAGAAATGAGTAGTTGCAACAGAGATTATGTGGCCACAAAGCTGAAAAGATTTCGTCTTTTGCCCTTTACAGGAAAAGTTGCTGACTTCTCTGCTAAGCTATGTAGGAAGGCCAGCTGGCCAGGGCTCTTCTGAGGGAGGTGAACCCTCATTCATTTTGTCAGCGTGAGAGAATGTTGCGAGTGGCGGGCTGTCTGGGTTTGATCCCAGCTCTCACCAAGCGGCTGAGCTGTGTGGCCATGGCCAGTCAGCTCTGTGCCTCAATTTCCTCATCTGTGAAACTCACATTTCTCTGGTTTCTACCTCAGAAGGTTGTTGGGAGGATGATTTGAGTTCACACATAAAACATATTAAAACAGCAACTGCATTTCAGAAGTTTAAAAACATTAATTTATAAGTATCAATTTTATTTATAAATATTGCTTTGAGTAATAATTACTTCTTCATTGAAATCACCCTCCATTTCTTTTAGAATTAGGGGAAGTGGATTACACAAGCCAATGTCATTCCTTCATTCCAATTTTGCTTTCTAGAAGATTTAAAACAGTCCCCTCAGTGGGACAATGAGTGAAAAGGGTGAAAAGGAGCATAGTCAATAGTATTGTACTAAGTTTGTGCAGTGACAGACGATTACTAGAATTACTGGGGTGATCACACTGTAAGGTATAAAAATGTCAAATCATTATATCGTAACCTGAAACTAATGTAACTAATATAATGTTGTATATCAACTATACTTAAATAAATAAATATAACAAAAACCTCAGTCTCATCAATTAATGCAATGACTATGATATTCATACACACTTGCTAATTATAAGGTACAATTAATATTATACCAATAAATACTCATTAATATAATATGTAATTAATATTTACCATAAATAAATCTAAATGATCAGAAAATACCTCAATCATTTTAACTATATATTACTTTATAATTGTTAATAATCATAAATGTATTAGTGTATTGTTAATAGTATACACAATTAATACTATGTGAATATATAATTATTTACATACTATGTAATTCACATTTAAAACAATTAAATCTCTAGGTAATAAAAGCAGTTAATTTAATGACCAGTCTTCTGCCAAAAAGACATCTTCAGGGTAATTATTGAGTTTTCCTCTGTTTATCATATTCTTGTGAAATGAAAGTGCTACATTGATCTCTGCTGGCTATTCATCTGGAAAAAATGACCTTTCATGTGGAGAAGATAAGACAGGTGGGCACTTTAATTTACCGGGCAGATGTGCCATAAAGGTGAGGCCCGGAAGCTGCAGAAATGGCCACAATCACAGCCGGGACTCCGTAGCCCACAGGGTACATGAACTTTTTCATGAACCTGCTCACACTGGAGTAGTTGACCGCCGTCAGGTTGCGTGCGGTGAGGAAGAGGTTCAGGCCCTCCAGCAGCATCCAGGTGAAGGCGGCCAGGTAGAGGTAGTGCAAGGCACCTGCGGTGATGGCACACAGCACCTGGGGGAGAAGTTAGAGTCACCAGGCAGCATTGTCAGGATGGAGTGTCTTAGGACCTCTCCTATACATCAAAGAGAATTCTGCTTATGAAGGAATTGTCAAGAGAGGATCTGTCATTCTCTTGGATCAGTCAGTGTGGAAGTGGCTACTCGCCCCTCTAACCTTCCCAGGGCCCGAAGACATTTTATTAAGGGGTTACAGCATGGCCCCATGAACTCCACATCCCCTGGACAGGTGAGAGGGTCCTCTGGGACGGCGTCAGTACCTTGTGTTCGGTTCTGTCGATGGCCGTGAGGAAGAGCAGGTGCGCCAGGAAGAGGCAGATGCAGAGCTGCAGGTGGAGGGAGGTGCTGGTGCTCTGGATGGCTTTGCACAGCAGGAAGGTGAGGGCCGCCAGGAGGAGGCACAGCAGGGAGAGGCTCAGCCCCACCTGGGTGATCACAGCCAGGGCGGCATCCTCCTCCTGGGACCAGCAAAGTGGAGACGACAGTCACACTTTCCTGCTCTGGGGTACAATTTTGTTTTTCAAAGTATACAGATTAAAATGGCAAAACAAACAAAAAATACTGACAAGTGTGGGCAAAACAGAGCTACTGGAACTCTTATACACTTCTGGGTAGGAATTTAATAGGTAACCTCTTTTGGAATGGAGTTTGGTAGTTTCTTATAAACATACAATTACTACATAACCCAGAAATTTCATATCTCAGTATTTACTGTTTAAGAATATTTGTAGCATCTTTATGCATAACAGCCCAGACTGGGAACAATGTAAAGGTCCATTAGCTAGAGAACAAATAAACAAATCATGGGGTGGTCATACATTGGCATGCTCTAGAGCATTAAAAAGGAATGAACATGGTTACAGACAATATGACAAGGGAGAATCTCATAGACATTATGTTGAACAAAAGGAGCCAGGCATGAGAGAGAATGATTTTACTCTACTGCCTAATTCTGGAATGGACAGAAGTAAACTATGGTGATAAAGGGGAAGGGATTAGCCAAAGAACATATATGCATAATCCATGGACACAGACAACAGCGTGATGATGGCCAGAGGGAACGCGGGGCCAGGTGCTGGATGGAGCTGGCAAAGAAAAGGGGAAAATAGAGATATCTGTAATAGTGTCAATAATAAAAATAAAGAAAAAATACCTTGTTTTATATTAAAAAACAGAAAAGAAAATCAGATCCTGGTTTCCTGGGTGTGGGCATGAGAGCATTGACTGAGATTGTATGAGAGGCTTTCTGAGGCTATAGAAAGGGTCTGTGTCTCAGTTGTGGTTGCAGTCACAGGGTGTTTACTGTTGTCGAAACTTATGACCTGTATAGTTTATCATCTGATTTTTATTGCAAATATATTGTACTCCAATAAAGTCAATTAAGAAATGAATTCCTGCTCTTTGTGTGAGTTGCTCAGTGGTGTCCACCTCCTGCAGTACACGGTGGCTGCTGTGCTACCTGCCCCCTAAGGAGGGGATGGCGATGGTCCCCGGCACCCCAGCCATCCTTGCACAGCTGCCTTTGGGCCCCTGACTCTTGCTGGCAGGTCTACAGCATGGCAAGGGGCTTTAAGACACAGGCCAGTGTGTTATCCTTGAATAAAGCATGAGCTCTGGGAGCCCAGCCAGGGGCCATGCCCCTTCCCAGATTCACCACCAAACTGATGACTGAAAGCCTAAGGTCACTCCTGTGGGAAAAGTGCTGTTGAGATGGCTGGGGTGACTAGGAAATGGTCCCTGTCACTTCAGCCTATGACAAGAAGAGCCATGGTCCTTTTCTCAGGCTACTATGTTGCCCCAACGAGGGACCTGGCCTGCAACCCAGGCATGTGCCCCAACCAGGCATCAAACCTCCAACTTTACTCTGAGGGACAATGCTCAACCAACTGAGCAACAAAGGTTCCCTACATTCCTTTTAGCCTGGAGATAAGGTGCTACTCAAGACTTGGATCACAGGATCCCCAGAGAGCCAACTAGAAGAAAAGTGGACTGGACCCTGGGTGGTCCCTCACCCCCTCCCCCAACCATGGTGAAGTTGGTAGGAATAAAACCTTGGACTCATCACATGTGAGTAAAGAAAGCACTGCAGAGCAATGGACCACTGAACCACAAGAACACCTGAAAGTCATCTTTTAAAAACAACGACTGCTTCTGGCCAAGATGGAGGCATAGGTAGATATGCTTTGCTTTCTTGCACAACCAAAACAACACAACAAATTTAAATACCAAAACAACCAGATTGGCCAGAAAATTGAACTGTATGGAAGTCCAACAACCAAGGAATTAAAGAAGGAACATTTATCCAGACTGGTAGGAGGGATGGAGATAGGCAGCCAGAGTGGAGAGGATAGGAGGCAAGATGGCAAGGCGGTGGCTGGCGGATGAGGCGTCCAATGGCAGACAGGGCAGTCCCACAATTTCGTGCAGGTAAGCCAGAAGGAACAACTGGGGAGAGAGACAGACCATGCAACCAAGGGTTCCAGAGGAGGAAACTAAAGCCTCAAAAATCCCTGAATGTAAAAACCTGTGGGGGTTATGGTGGCAGGAGAAACCTCACAGGAGAGTCTGCTGGAGAGACCCACAGGATCCTAGAACATATACAAAACCACCCACCTGAGAATCAGCACCAGAAAGGCCTAATTTGCTCGTGGATTGCAGGGGAAATGACTGAAAGTGGGGCAAGAGCCGAACGGGTGGCATTGTTCCCTCTCTGATCCCTCCTCCACATAGAGCACCACAACCCAGCAAAGTGGGTTGCTCCACCTTGGCGAATACCTAACGCTCCTCCCCTTACAACATAACAGGCACGCTGAGACAAAGAACTATGGCCCAAATGAAAGAACAGATCAAAACTCCTGAGAAAGAACTAAGCAACTAGGAGATTGCCAACCTATCAGATGCAGAGTTCAGAACACTGGTAGTCAGGATGCTCACTGAAATGACTGAGTATGGATGCAAAATAGAGGGAGAAGTGAAGGCTACGCAAAGTGAAACAAAGAAAAACATACAAGGAACCAACAGTGAAGGGAAGGAAACCGGGGCTCAGATCAACAATTTGGGCCAGAAGGAAGAAATAAAGTTTCAACTGGAACAGAATGAAGAAACAAGAATTCAAAAAAAATGAGGAGAGGCTTAGGACTCTCTGGGACAATTTTAAATGTTTCAACATACAAATCATAAGGGTGCCAGAGGGAGAAGAGAAAGAACAAGAAATTAAAAACTTATTTGAAAAAATAATGAACAAGAACTTCCCTAATCTGACAAAGGAAGTAGATTTGCAAGTCCAGGAAGCTCAAAGAGTCCCAAAGAAATTGGACCAAGGAGAAACACACCAAGACACATCATAATTAAATTACTCAAGAATAAGGACAGAATCTTAAAAGCAGCAAGAGAAAAGGAGACAGTCCCCTACAAAGGGGTTCCCATAAGACTATCAGCTGATTTCTCAAAAGAAACCTTACAGGCAAGAAGAGGCTTGAAAGAAGTATTCAAAGTCTTGAAAGGCAAGGATCTACATGCAAGATTACTCTATCCAGCAAAGCTATCACTTAGAATGGAAGGGCAGATAAAGTGCTTCCCAGATAAGGTAGTTAAAGGAGTTCATCATCACCAAGACCTTACTATATGAAATGTTAAAGGGACTTATTTAAGAAAAAGAAGAAGATCAAAACTATGAACAGTAAAAGGGCAACAAACTCACAACTCTCAACAACTGAACTTAAAAAAACGAAAACCAAAACAAGCTAAGCAAACAACTAGAACAGGAACAGGAATGGAGATCACATGGAGGGTTATCAGCAGGGAGAGGATGGGGGGAGAAGGGGAGAAAAGGTACAGGGAATAAGAAGCATAATTGGTAGATACAAAATAGACAAGAGGTTAGGATAGTATAGGAAATGGAGAAGTCAAAGAACTTAATATGTACGACCTATGGACATGAACTAAGGGGGAGGAGATGCTGGTGGGGGAGGGGGCAGGGCAGAGGGAGACAAAGGGGAGGAAAAAATGGGACAACTGTAATAGCATAATCAATAAAATATACTTTAAAAAAAGGAAACGGTGAGTTATTTTCTTTCATTACTTTTTGTTTAACCCCATGTTATGAAGAACTGCACTAAAAACTATTTTGTTCCTTTACCAGATGCGGAGATAAATTGCAACAGCTCCACTAATGTATCTTATGCCTTCGGTCACCTCAAATTGCCCGCAGGATGGCTTCTAACATGTGGAAGGACTGTTTACTCCTGTGTCCCAGCACACAGCTCTGGGGGACCGCGCTCCCTGGGAAGACTGACGGTGTTTGTGCCTCAGAAACCCCATCTCATGCGGGCTTGACGGGAACTCTCCCTGGCACCTGATGGCAACAGGGATTTGCACCTTTTTAGCCCCGCTGAACATGTATCTTTGACTATGTTTGTAATGCCAGCCATGGTAACCTCTTTGAATGTAGAAATAAATAGATTAGCCTGTGCTATGGCAAAAGCCTTGAATGCCACCTCTCAAGCCATCAGGCAGAACTAGGACAACTTAGAGAGATGGTATTAGAAAATCGCGCAGCTGTAGACTGCCTCCTTTAAAGACATAATCACGGATGCGAAGAATTTAAAGCACTCCGCTGTTTCAACCTGACAATAATTCACAGCTCATAGAGTATAAATTAAAGGAAGTAAATGAAGTGGTACCTGATATAAACAAAGAGAAGAAGTCTTTGGTATTGATCGGTCTAAGCTCACCTCCCGGCTGCCTAGCATGACTGGTCTGAGAGAGGCAGTTGTTGTTTTCACTCTTCCCCTCTCTTTCAGCATCACAGCTTGTTGTTGCACACGCTGTGCCCCTTACGTGGGTCTGCGGTTAACTGTGCCCCTGAACCCCCTGCCAGACGGTCGGGTGCTCAGACACAGGCTCAACAGCAAAGTGAGCACTTCCCCACGAAACTGATGCAGCAGAGAGAGTTCAGATTAACAGCGGGAGGATGGTGGTGGGACCCACGCGCTGGGAAATTTCGTTTTTATGTGCTAGTTATTAGCAATCAATGTGTGTGAAAAGCTACTGTTGCAGGAACTGAAGGTACGACTCCCCCCCACACTCAGGAGGCCACCGCAGCCCCGCCTGTGTGCCCCGCAGCACTGCGAGCAGCCAAGGTGGCATCTGAGCCACGGTGCCCCAGGGAGAGACGCCCATCGCCCAGGGCACAGATCAGGCATCGCCGCGCAACCGACGGAAGGATGCTCGGAATATTGCCGGACCGCAGCTTTTATCTGATTAACCTTCTCCCTGAATTCCAAACCTCTTACCTACACTTTTCTTCTCGTTATAAATAGGGTCAGTTTGAAATGAATGTAAGACAGTCTGTTAGGTACATAACCTGCCATCTTCTCAGATCACTGGCTATCTGAATAAAGCACCCATAAAGATTTTTTAAAAATTAATTCCTTTAGGGTCTGAGGTCTAAAAGGGAGCTAAAGCTCCTGTGAACTGCTTATTCTACTCAGTGGTACCTGTATAATAATTGTATTTTGATCCTGCAATTTATGCATCAGTAAGCTTATAACATTTACATGCTGCTTTCCTGGAAGTGGCGCTCAATTTTAGCACCATTTCCTACCCACCCAACTACCTGAGGTTACCTTCATGAATATTTGTATGAGGTCAGCTAAAAAAGAATAATATTCCTGGCTGTGAACAATAAGACAGACCACGAAGCACATATATTTATCTGTATCCCCCTCCTGCTTCTCTCCCATCTCTCCCCATTCCAAATCCTAGTATTTTTCAGGTTTTAAAGGACACCCTTGGCTGAAAGAAAAAGTCAATTATTTTCTTATTGAAGATGGTGAACCATAGCTTGCACATGCACATGCGTGCATACACACATGCACACACTCCTCTTCTTGGGAATAATCCAAGCGCCACAAGTATAATGAAAAACAACAGCACCATTTCAGTTTTCCATGAAGCTAGAGAATAATTGGAAGAGGTGCTAAAATCAGGGAACATTGAATAGAGGTACATGGAGGAGGAAATCTGAATAATCTGCTTCATGACTATAATAGTGGGGATGATGCGGGTAGGAGTTCCTTTACACTCATTAGTTTAAAGATTTAGCGGAGTTGAAGCTGAGTGTGTAATTGTACAAATAGGCCATATTTGCAGAAAAACATTTGACTCCGGCTATGGAGGTAAATGCATATTTTGGACACAAAAGCCTCACTGCTGACCTTTCCATTTGCTTGGATAAATCTTAAAACCCCATATAAAATCTCTGTGATATTCTGTAATACAACCCTGACCTTTTTTTTTACAGAAATACCTTGGAAATAACCCCCCCCCCCCAGGAAAAATCATCTGCTTTCAAGATAAGTAATCAAAAGAATAAACACAATATCTGTACAAAATATTACAAGGAAAAAAGAAAAAAATTCAAGGAAGGAAGGCTCACAAAATAACTGTTAACACGGAGCTAATGAAAATTGTGACTTTACTGACCATAAATCACAATAGGTAAGGAAACACTGCCTTTATAAGCAAAAAAAAAAAAAAACAAAAAAAACAAAAAAAACAAAAGCAAAGATGCAAGACCTCATTAAGGGAGGGCTTGTGAAATTGTGCATTAGAAAAGTTCATTAAATAAATGAAAGGAAAAAACCCACCAAGTAATTAAGTCACAGTTTATGGAGGCATTAAGAATGAACCCTGATGGAAACTCACTTTAAGGGACATAGAGAGTGAGAATGGAAAAAATAGTAAAATTAACATTGAAAACAGGTTAAAAAAAAGAATAAGAGGAAAAAGAAATACGGAAGCTAGACAATGGAGAGCCACAAAATGCATAACTGGAATAGTCAATGAAGAAAACCAAATGGATGATGAGAGCAAATACTGTAAATGAGATTTAAAGACATAGTTTTCAAAAATAAAAGAAAGTTGAATTTATACACTTAAAAGAAACACCTTGCATGGGTGGGAGGGGGAATATCCAAGAGTGATAGTATGGTTTCCAAACTTAAAAATTTAATGGTATTTACTGGGCAGCTACAGAAATGTGTTGAAATGGGGCAATATCTATATAAATTACAACAAATTCCCCCAGTGATATTACTGTAACACCACATAAGCAAAATATTAAAGAAAATAGGTATCATTAGAGATTTGTTAAAGTGTACAACATCCATAGAATGGAAAGCTATATAGATGTAAAAATGAATGAGAAAGTTCTTTATGTACTGGTTTAGAATCTCTCAAATATTTTAAGTGAGAAGAATGCAACCCTGACTGGGTGGCCCAGTTGGTTGGAACATCGTCCTGTACACCAAGAGGTTGCAGGTTCGATCCCCACTCAGGGTGCATCTGTGAGGCAACTGGTCAACGTTTCTCTCTCACATTGGTGTTTTTCTCTCTGGATAAAAAAAAAAAATGCATGAGAGTGAACATAGTATGCAAGGGTGTGAGTGAACACAAAACTACATTACAGGCATGTGCTTATTTATACATAAAATATCCCTAAGAGGGCTCAGAAGAAACTGAGATTTCTGAGATTCCTTCAAGAAGGACCCTGATCACTGAGGAACATGGGTGGGGAAAGGACTTCAATGTTATCCCTTCTGTTACTTTTGAGTTTTAAATATTTTTATCTCTTCAAAAATGTAAATTAGAAAACTTGCACAATGTATTCTATTCTAGAGCAAAGTGGCAGCAAGGAACACATTGTTTCGGGGAGTGGTGGGTTTTTCTGAATGCCCATGAAGCCCATCCATATAGCTAAAAAGAGTTTTCATCCTTATCTCCATGTGGATCTTCATTTCGTGATGTCACGTGGGTGAATCTCAATTCCTGGTGATCCCCTAGAAGAAGTAACTGTGTCGTGTGGCCAGAGAGAACAGTTTGGTCCTTGATGCAGCTGCTCTCACTGGCTGCCCTCTGCCTGGATCTCTTTCAGGTCTCTGCCATTCCAGGCATCTCTATCCCGTGGCTCCTCTTAGGTCTCTCACCTGCACATCGTACGGGGCCATGAGGACGGCAAAGCTGCTGAGGTGGGTGCATTGGCAGGTGGTGCTGGTGTTTCTGGTGCCCATCATCCTGCAGCCTTTGGTGGCCCAGTGACCACATCCGTCCTGACCACGATCCCAGAAGACACAGAGCACCTCCTCCCTTGGTCCGGGGGTCATCGGCTGTAGGAACAGGGCACAGGTGTGAGCCGGTTAATGGTTCACGTGCTCAGAGGTGCTGACTCAAAGCTGACCCTGGACAGGCTGACTTTCCTGGGGAGACGATGCACCTATTTGGGGAGGCCCCTTGAATGCCTCACCTGAGCTGAACGGCAAGACTGTGTCCAGGACTCAGGCTCCTTCCGCACCTGCAGCCCAGTCCCACCAGCACTTACATGGTGGGAGAAGATGAAAGTGACTGGGGAGCCGAGGTTCTGGGTGTCTTTGTTGCTCAGAAAGGCGGAGTTGACATCCGAGAACAGGACAGTGGAGACCCCCTGCAGCAAGCCTTTGTGTGTCTCATGCAAAACTGCCAGGTTCTCAGGCTCCAGGAACAAGGGGGCCTCAGCCAGCAGCTTGCCCATCCCTGGAGTAGAGATGAGGCCCACCACAGAAGGGCCTGCAGAACGAGGCCAAGGTTGACATCTTAGCGTGCCCACCAGGGCAACTTCCTCTCATACGAGCTCTACCTGGTGGGCCTCCCCACCCTATATTTTATTTTTTAACTTTTATTAGTTCTCTGGGTCCCATGCTGGCTGTCTTGTCCCGTGGCAAGGACTAAGTGGCCTTCCCCTCCCCACCTCAGTCATTACCCGAGTCACTGGATTTCTGCACCACACCCCAGTCCAACTGCATCTTCGCCTGGCTCTGTCCAAGGTGACGTCTCCCAGCCCTTGCTCCTCCTGCACCTTCAGGAACAGCTCTGTAGTGGTGGTGATGGCATGAAGGATGGGAGAAGTCAGGTTATTTCTTGCAATTGGGATTCGCTTTTTCAGCATGCTGGTAAATGGCATGAAATGTAAGTAACAAAGGAAGGGTAGTGTGGCTGGTTTAAGACTGTCATTTTAGCATTTTTAAAAGGTTAAAACCAAACTATCTCCCAAAATTGCACTTATTTAGGAAAACACTCTGCTAAGACTGTGTAATCTATCTCAAGAAAAGGAAAAGGCTCCTGAACAAGACAAGGTTTCTGTTGCAATGACAATTCTGATTCTAATTCAAAGATTTTAAAAATTTAAATATATACAACAATGTTTTTAAATCTGGTGTGGGTATTTGCAATTCACAGTCTGACAAGGGTCTAGTACCCAGGATATACAGGAGCCGGTAAAAGTAGATTAGTAATAATAATACAATAATTAATAAATAATAATACAAGAATAAACTCTGTTTCATGTACTCACAACTGTAAGTTGCCCATCCCTGTATAGAGTTTTTACCACTCAATAATAAGACAAATAACCCAGTTTAAAATTAGGTAAAAGATTGAATAAACATTTCTCCAAAGAAGATATAGAAAGTTCCAATAAACATATGAAAAGAAATTTAACATCATTAGGTATTAGGTAACTAAAATTAAAACTGCAATGAGATACCACTTCATACCTAGTAGAATAGCTACAATCAAAAACTCAAAAAATAGCAAATGTCGGCAACAATGTGATGAAATTGGAACCCTAATACACTACTGGTGGAATATAAATGGTGCGGCCACTTTGGAAAACAGTTTAGCAATTCTTAAAATGTTAAATATAGAGTTAATATATGCTCCAGCAATTCCTTTCCTACTTATGTAACCAAAAGAATTGAAAACATACATCCACACAAATACTTGTTCATGAATGTTAATTCATAAGTGACAAAAAGCAAAAACAACCCAAATGCTCATCAAATGATGACTAGATAAATGCATATAACCACATAATGGCATACTATTCATCAATAAAAAGAAATGAAGTATTGGTATGTGCTACAACATGTGAGAACTTCAAAAACATCATGCTGAGGGAAAGAAGCCAATTACATGAGCCCACGTATTATACAATCCCATTTATACAAAATGGCCAGAGTAGGTATATCTGTAGAGATAGGAAGCCAATCAGTGGTTGCCACGGAATAGGGGTTCCAGGAATGGGAGTATCAGCTAATAGGTATGGCATTTCCTCTTAAGGTGATAAAAGTGTCCCATAATTATTGCGTGGCACAACTTCGTGATTATGCTAAAAACCATTGAATTCTACACTATAAAGGGCGTGTTCCCGGTATGTAATTTATATCCTAAAAACACTGTCAAAAAAACACGCTTGATCAAGATAAGTCTGCTTGGTAACTGCCATCTGCATATGGTGAAGTTAAAAAAAAAAAAAAGCCTGGGAATGCTTTCTTTGAGTTACAAATAGAACTGTTAATAAAATGATTGCAATGACCAGATTATTTGAGGATGAAGGAGTCAGAGGGAAATATTTGTAACCAGTGTTTAATCCTCTCTCACCAACTTCCTGGGCAGTATAGGTGTTGAGAGAGCTGAGAAAATTACACAAAAATGACATGTTTCAACAGCAGAAACATTGACGTAATGTTATGTAAGGTCATACTTAAAACAGATAAAATATTATGTAATTTTCAACATTTCAAGAGTAATTGCATTTTCTTCACTTGCATGCAGTGTTTATTTTTGAATACATTATTTTTATGAATATAATTGCAGGTATTTTGTTATAATTATATAAGTAATATAACTATATACTTATCATTGATGTTTGCATATATTTATTTTTGCTTCTCATTTTTTTTTTAATTTAAGCTTTGTGCTTGAAACAAATGAAGGACTTAGTTTCATAGGGCTTTATTTCATTATATGAGTAATGTTTTATTTTAAATAAAACCCTGAGATGTGAGTGTGGTCACTTGGCTCCAACGGGGCAGTCTCGAGGGAGAGGGAGGAATCAGATGGCAGACAGGTGGAGCAGGAGCCTGGGGCAGGCCAGGTGCTCACCTGTGCCTGCAGGAGCCCGCAGAGTCAATGGCTCATTGGGTAGGTCCTTGCTCAGCACTTTCAGAACATCCTCCAGGCCATTGAGCAGGTTAGTGGCTACGCAGTGCTGCTCTGACTGGGGCAGGGTCTCCAGGTCACCGGGGGTCTCCAGCAGCTCACCCACCTCTTGCAAGAGGTTCTGGGGGGATGCGGACACAAGCCAATGGGCAACAGACCGGAGGGGCTGCATGAAGACCCTGATTATTTAACCCCAAAGAACAGACCCCAGGAACTGTCTGTTTGGAGAGTAACAATAGCTCAGGTGGCCTTTGCTGCCTAGATCTCAGCCCTGCAGAGGTCAACCTGGGTCAGGAATTCCAAGTATGACATAAACCCAAAGTCCAAAACCAGCAATAGGGTAAGAACCATAAGTTAGTGCACGTTAAAAGTACTGCTAGATACCCGAGTGCCCCAGCCTTCTCCCCACCACAGGTGAGAGGCCAGCTGCTACCAAAGCCACCCAGGTCTCTATGGGATTTCCATATTTGCCTCTTTCTTGGTTCTGAATTTACCTGGATGGTGTTCCCAGCCAAGGCTGGCTTGAAGTCTTGAGATAACTGCTGGACTTTGTCAAAGAAGCGGGAGAGGCTCTGGGAAGACAGACCATGGGGGTTGGTCAGAGATCCTGAAGAGGGAGCTTGGGGAGAGGATAGAGACAAAAGACGGCAAGGATCTCACTGCTTCCTGGTCTTCTGCTGAGCCTCCACTCACCTGACTCTTGATTCCAGAAGGTGGTGTCCATGAGGAGAGGGGGACTTCTGCAAGGAAAAGAGGCAGGGGCATGTGCGCATGTGCATCTTGTGGGTGTGCACATGCATGCATGCCTGTGTGTACTTGCTTTTTATAAATGTGCACGTGTGCACACACACCAATGTTGTTTGGATACATGTACGTGTGTGCACACACAGGTGTCCGTGTATGTGTGTGTGTGTGTGTGTGTGTACCACATACCTTCACAGACAGTGGTTGTTAGACCATTCAGAGGGCTGGACACAGCCACCCATTCGTGGTGACAGTAACATCTGTAGCTGCCTCTCACATTGACACAGCGGGTGGAGTTGTGGCATTGGTGTTGTCCCGAGCTGCACTCATCCACATCTGGAGACATAAAAAAGGAGATCAGTCCCCTAGCCCAGCTGGGCTAAGGCCTCCCTTCTACCCGCCAGCCCCAGCCTTCCTACCCTTCACCATCTTCCTCAAGCCCGGGCATCAGGGAGTCCATCACAGCTGAAATGGGCACCATCTTGTGGTGGCACTCTCTGCTCTCCCACTGCCTCAGCGCAGGCACTGGCAAACTACAGCCCCAGGCCAAACCCACCTGCTGCCTGTTTCTGTACAATCCACGAGCTAAGAATGGTTTTTATATTTTTAAAACCATTTGACATTCATGGCCAAAAATGCCAAAGAGCGAGCCATCTTTTATGGCACATGAAAATTTTATAAAATTCAACTTATATTAGTATCCATAGATAAAGTTTTATTGGAATGCAGCCATGCCTATTTATTTATATTTTGTCTGTGGCTGTTTTCAAACTATAATGGCAGAGTTAAGTAGCTGTGACAGGGACCTTCTGGTCCCCAAAGCCTAAGATATTTACTACCTGGCCTTTCACAGAAGACGTTTTCTGGTCTCTATATTCAAGCAAGGTGGGCAAGGAAGGCACTATGTGAGTGTGAATGTGAGTGTATGTGTGTGCATGCAGGGGGTGTGTGTGTGTGTGTGTGTGTGTGTGTTATATCTTTGATCAGAGTTGTTTGATGAATGGTGAGTATGGTAGACAAAATGATGTCCAAGTGTCCAAGTTCTAATTTTTGGAATGTATGAATATGTTACCTTTCATTCAAAAGAATTTTCAAACTTTGTGATTAAGGATATTGAAATGGGAGATTATTCTAGAGGACTTGGGTGCGCCTGGTATAATCACAAAGGTCCAATTTTTGAGAGGGAGGGAGGAGGTCAGAGAGATGAAGAGATGATAGATATGCTGTTCGCTTAAAAGAGAGAGAAAGAAGCCTAGAACCATGAAATGCAGGTAACCTCTAGAAGAGACAGGAAACAGATTTTCCCCTAGGGCTTCTAGAAGAAGCTATTTAAAACTTCTGACCTCCCAAGCTCTAAGAGAATATATTTATTTTGTTTTCAACTATTACGTTTATGGTAATTTGTTATATGAGCAATAGGAAACCAATATAGTGGTCCATTCAGGAATCTGAGAATGGCTTCCAGCCAAGTGGTGCTGGCATCAGCTCTTAGCGTTGCCTCAGGAGTCCAATGGGTGACCTGAGCTGCAATTAGTCAGCTCCACTGGCTGGTGCTTTTCTTCAACCTCCTGCAGCTCCGGCCGCAGCTCTATGCCCCAGGGCAGCCTCAGGGTTGCCCACGGCCTATGGGGTGGGTGGTAGGTCTGTCCTTAATGCCACAACTAGAGGGAATTTATTTGGCCTCAGAACATCTTGGACATTTCCGCCATCTCCCCAGGCAGGGGACGTTCCTTCTTCTCAGGGAAGTTTGAGGGTGAGAAATGAGGAAGCCATGTGACTGTGGTCACAGTGTTGAGTAAGTGTGGATGTCTTCAAATTTATTTGGCTTCAAACACATCTTCCTCTCTTTGCTAATTAGGAGAGCAATTGGATCCTCTTTGGCTAACTTAGAGACCAGGGGAGTGGAGCTTGGTTAATATTTAACTATGGCTTTTTCTATCTCTAACCCAGACAATGAAGTACGAGGAGGCCCTGAAGGTCAGAGGTTTCTCTCCTCCCGGGACGGTGAATAGCTTATTAATAGATAATGCTCCCAACAAGATTGACGTTTATATACAGATGACGTCTCACAGAAGTGTACACTTGAAACCTGTATAATCTTACTAACAAGTGTCACCCCAATAAATTTACATAAATCTTTGAAAAAGTGGAATCATTTTAAAGCAAATATATTGCTGTCACATTTCTTACCGTTGAAAGAGTGAATATTCTACTTTTCTCTTCGTAAATACTACACACTCCTGTCTCTAAACTATTTCCAATATTTTAAAACATTATTCAAACTATATAAATAATAAAAATGGGTAGTATGAAAATGATTAATACATTGAAAAGTCATTAATTAATCTAAGTCTGTTAAGCTTTACTTAAAAGTGTATTGTATGGTACAATGAAATATTATTCAACAGTAAACAAATGAAATCTTGCCATTTGCAACAACATGGATGGATCTAGAATGTATTATGCTAAATGAGATAAGTCAGACAAAGACAAATACTGTATCATCTCACTTATATGTGGAATCTAAAAACAAAAGCCCAACAAAACAAAACAGCAGCATACTCATAGATACTAAGAACAATTTGATGGTTTCAGAAGGTAGGATTGTAGGAGGAATAAGAGGTATAAAGTTCCAGTTATAAATAAGTCATGGGAATACAGTGCACAGCACAAGGAATACAATCAATAATATCATAACTTTGTATGGTGATCACATTATAAGGTATATAAAGGTAGAATAACTATGCTATACACCTGAAACTAATAAAATATATATGTTAACTGTACTTTAATAAAAAGTGTTGAGCTCTGACTGGTGTGGGTCAGTGAACTGAGTGCCAGTCTGCAAAACAAAGGGTCACCAGTTCGATTCCCAGTTAGGGCACATGCCTAGGTTGCTGGCCAAGTCCCCAGTAGGGGGCGTGCAAGATGCAACGACATATTGATGTTTCTCTTCCTCTCTTTCTCTCTCCTTCCCTTCTCTAAGAATAAATAAATCAATAAAAAGTGTTGAACTCTATTCTATAGGGTAAACAACTTAATATCCAGTTTTTAAAAAACTTATTCTCTTCAAGAGTGGGTATTATCATTCCTGACTTATACATGAAGAAAGCAAAACCAGAGATCTCAAAATACTTGGCAAAAACCAAGACCAAGTGTGAGGGCCAACATGTGACCACAGCTCTGATTACTGTAACAACAGAGCCCGTTCAAGTGAGTCATTCATGCACATTTCTTAAATGCCTTCCGTGTTCCAGGCACTGGGATACTGGGGTGAGAGAGCATTGTCTACCCATGAAGTGGGTGGTTTATGCACAGGGACTGCTCCTTCTCACACTCTTTGATTTATGTTTCCCTTGTCTGCAGGTCGCTCCGACCACTGGAGGAAAGGCTCCAGGAGACGGGGCTTATCCTTCTATTTGCAGGACCTGGGGAAGAGCTCAGAGCTGTGGTAGGAAGTCAAACCACACCTACGATGAAACTATTGTCTTAATACTACTAAAAGGGATTTGAAGAGTTTTAAGATAAACATATATTTATAAAGTATAATAATGCTGGAGATGAAAAAAAGGGAGATCAGGGAGAAGAAAAGCTACTGGCATACTATCGGAACAATTCTGCGGCATTTTTAAACATTTAAAACAGAACTTGGAAATCATTCAATTTAGTTTATCAAGAGCTTTCTCATTTAGTTCTAGTCATAGTCATCCATAAAGACAGGAAGTGACCCAAATGTCCTTCAGTGAGTGAATGGTTAAACAACGTGTGGTATGGCCATGGAATGGAATATTACTTAGCAATAAGAAGAAATGAACTATTGGAACTATTGGATGAACCTCAAAACCATTACACTGGCTGGGAGAAGCCTGACTCACATACACTGTCCTATTCTGTTTTTATATAATATTCTCAAAAGACAATCTTAGAGGCAAAATAACAGATTAAAGGTTTTCAGGGGGTAGAGGTCGGAGTGACTAGAAAGGGAGAAGATGAGGAAGTGTTTTGGGATAATGGAACTAATTCTTCTGGACGCTAATGGTGGTGGTAACCGAAGTCTGAACATGTGTAAAAATTCACAGGACTGTCCACCAAAAGAAGAAAAGAAGTCACAGAAAGGTTCTGAAATTTCTGATTGTATGGTCCTACCATAATATGTTAATGAATGTCATGTCATTTGTTTCCAGTCTTTAACTATCGCATATTATGTCACAATAAAGAACCTTCTAAATGTACCCTAACATGGAGTTGTGAGCCTGAGCAAGAACAGAAAGTGGGAGGAATGGGCCCCTTAGAGACCCAAGTGTGCCCTCTCCTGGGCTCTCAGGCTTAGTAATAACAGTTCCAAGACAGTCTCAAAGTTTGCTGGGTGAACTGGAGTGTGGGAGCATCATGGGGAGACAGGTGAAGGGAACACGTGACCCAGGAAACTACTCACCTTGACAAGTATTTCTCTCATTTTTGAATTTGGTGCCTCCTGAAATGAACTCGTAACCAGAAATGCACTCACAATAGTAACTTCCCTCCACATTATGACACTCTGCAAAGCTTCCACAAGACTTGTATGACGGTGGGCCACACTCGTTGATATCTGGAACACAAGTAGGAACTGCTAGGATGGACCAAATTTCTGGTCAGAATTGGTAGCAACCAGCTTTAAATGGTTTTACTCCTTGTGTTTTCTTTAAAAACAAAACAATGTGTTCACAGAAGAAAACTGGAAAAGCAGAAAATGCAAAGAACACAAATATGCAATCACTGAAACAATTTTAAAAAGGGAGGATATGTACCTGTTGCTCAGCTTCAACAATTATGAAAACTGTGTTACTTTTTCATCTATGCCCACCTCCCAGGGAATCAGACCACAGTTTAGGTTTATGCAAATTCTTCCAGGATTATAAAATATCTTGTGACAACTTTTCCATATGAAAATAAGAAATAATTTTCATGCCTATAGAATATTCCGTAGTAAGAATATTTCTTATTTCATCTAATTCATGAGCAACTCGGCATGCTATAATTTGAGATGGGGTCCATGTTCTTCCACTTTCTAGCTGTGTGGCTTTGGACAAGTTACTTCACCTCTCGTGGCCCAAGTTTTCTCACTTAGAATATGGCACCAGCATTAACTTTTTAAGGGGTTTCTCTGAGCCTCTTACGGGACATTGTTTGAGAACTTCCTCATCTTCAAATGAACCCTATCTGAATTCCAGTGTATGACTAGCTGGATGAGCCTGAGCAAGCTACCTCCCAAAGTCTCTATTTCCTTACCTATGAGTGGGGGATAATAATAGTATGAACTCATTTAGATAGCACATGGTTTAAGTTCACTTTTAATTTCACAAATTATGTTTTACAGACAGAAAATGGCCATATTGACAAGAGGTTACAGTGGTTATTTTTGGATGGAAGAAGTGAGATTTTGGCTTAAAAGGACTTTTCTGCAAACAAGTGCTAGAGCTGGTAGAATGTCGCAAAGCTGTGACTGCTGAGTGGTCCCTGCAAGAGCTTCCTCCTTTGCCAAGCTGCCCCTGCCCTTAACCAATGTACAGCAACAACGTCAACAAGAAAATGCACCAACTTCTTATCAAGTGAAAGGCAGCATCCTGTTTTTATATGTTATTAATTTATCTTCTTTTATTGAAATGAAAATTCACATAACAAAATCAACCATTTTATTTTATTTTAATTTATTTATTTAAAATCAACCATTTTAAACTGAGCAATTCAGTTGTATTTAGTACACTCACAGTGTTGTGCAACCACCAATGCTATTTAGTTCCAAAACATTTTAATCTTTCCAAAAGAAATCACCATTAAGTAGTCCTTCCTCATTCCCCTCTTCCCCCGGCATCTGGTACCTATCATTTGCTTTCTGTCTTCATGGATTCCATTTATATGGATCAATTAATTTAAAGCAGACAAGAACTAGATGAGTTGATATTATTATTGTCCCTGATTTACAGGTAAGGAAGTTGAGATGCTGCAAAGTAAGGCAATTTGATTGAACTCACACAGCGGCTCATACAGCTGGAATTCAGATAGTCCAGCTCCAAAGCCTGACCTCTGAACACTGTACCCCTGACCATGAGAACTGAGTACCCTGTTTCTTGACTCCTCTCCCTTATCCTTGGCAAAGAATTTTAATGCTGTTTCAAGGGCTGAGGACTCTAGATGTCTCCAAATTTCTGATGTCCCCCTCTATTTTATATCAGCCTCTTACCAGTACAGATCTCCGAGGGGTTGCTAAAGATGGTTTGTCTGAACAGAGGAGTGAATCCAGGATCACAGCGGCAGGATGTGGCATTGAGACAATGGGCATTGGAGTGGGCACCGAGCACAGGAAGCTGTGGGAAACGGACATCTAGGTTTGAGCTCCCTTGGAAGATGCCAGCTGCCAGCTGGGGAAAAGGAGATGAAGGAAGGAGAAGGAAGAGATGCCTGTCTTCATACAAAGAAGAGCCCTTGGTAATAGACAGGAAGTTTGGAAAAGGAGAAGAGTCACTTTCTCAAAGCCTAAGAAGACCATTCCCAAGAATAAGTCCTTGTTTGTGAGAAGTTCTTTTCTGGGGTTCCGGGTGGTGGGTGTGGTTCATTCGAACATACTCACTTCTAGACTTCTGGGCAAGAGCTCCCCACGATATTAATAGGACACAGAGCCCTAGAACAGAGAAAGGGGGAAGGTGGATATGGCTCAGAAATGAGATCCAGAGCACCCACAGAAAGAGCTTTGACCATCTGGTGAAGTGGACCCCCAACCCCTTATGGCTCCACAGCTTCTAGCAGCATCCCAGTGTTTCCCTCTGCACGAACTCCTGGACTTTCCCACAGGACCCTGGGACAAAGATTCTCCCCTTCCAGAAGCCTCCCAAGGCATCGGTAGCAAGCAACTGGCTTCTTTAGTATAGGGATCAAAATCTACATAAATAGAAAAGAATAGGCACTCCTATCGGATCATCTATTCCCACCCATTTTACAACAAACATCTAATGAAGAAACTCCTTGGATCTTGCTGTCTTATTCAGGTACTAATCTTAGTTCTTTACAGTTCAGGATCTTTTCAAAAAATGTTTACTGTTAGTAGAAAATTCCAAACATACTAAAAAGTAGAAAAACGGACAATTGAACCCCTGTGTATCAATCTCCATGCTGTAACAACCATAAACTTACGCCAACTTTTGTTTTGTCTACACCTCTACACCCTCCCTGCCCCTCACTGGATTATTTGGAGGCAAATTACAGGCAACATATTACTTCTCAGGATATATTTTAAGGACAGAAATATTTATAGGTAATAATAACAAAAAATTATAGATAAGAAATTGAGAAGTCCCAAAATAAGCCCCCAATTTTCCCTTGGCTACAAGTCCAAACCACTTTCTTCTCCAAGAGGCTAATAGAACAAAACAAAGTACCCTTCTTGTTATTACCCTTCTGAGGGACTGTGCAACAGCAAGCTAGTAATCACACAGACGACACAGACGTTTCGGCAAGAAGATAAAGAACAATCAAATGATTTTCATTAAAGGTCTTCCCAATTATATCTACTTGTATATGATGCACAATATCTGCTCTTCATTGTGCAGCAAGATGAAGCCTGAGCAGTGGGGGAATTTTATCTTGAGCTGTAAACCAATACTCCTCCTCGTTTAAGCAAATAACATGCGGCTTAGAAGAACTGACTTGGGAAAGAGCGAGCCAGAATGCTTCTTCCTTTCTCCACCACCTATTTAGCCTTATCAGAACTTTCTGTTCTGCTTTTTATTCTTTGCTTAGTATTACTACTCTTTGGACTGCCAGCCTCCTTTCTGATTTTTCTTAAGTCCTGATGATTAAAGACTGATGTCAAGTGTATTTATAGGGTCTTTCTAAAATAATATAAAAAATACGCTGGCCCCTGGCCATAATACCATTCAGTACTGTTTGAGCAAGAGTGAGACTACTGCCTTGCTCAAAGTCACTGAGCGCCTTCTACATCCTGGCTCTAGAGTCATGTGAGTTACTCTTTTTCATCCTTGCATTCCTCTATTGCTTTTACTCCAGTGATTCCAATCAAACAAGCATTTGTTGTGATAAGGTGAGAGAATTTCCAGTTACTACTTTTATCATATCAGACACATCCTTTGAGATTTGTTTCACATGGGAATAGTTATTCTCACCAGGGTGTCAGGAGAATTCAATGAGATAAAACAGGTAAAGCTCCTGATACAATATATGGTCTACTAAAATATCTAAAAAACAATATCCTTCCTATCTTCCTTTGTGAAAACAATTAATCATGCAAATTTAGTTATTTCCACTATTCCACCAACATTATATTACCTTATCTAATTTTTGTTTTTAATTTTCTTAAGTTCCATAAAATTGTTTCATTGTCTCCATATCAGACTCCCAAGATAAATAGAGCTGGTATTTCTATCCTACTTACTTCACTGAAAAATCTTATATTTTATTTTTAAATTTGTAAGTTATACAACTCCCCATTTGATCGTTAAAAATATTTCTTGAAACTACAGGCCAATATTCCTAATGAATATAGATAAAAAGTTGTCGTTAAAGTACTGGAAAACCAAATTTAGCAGTACAATAAAAGGATTATTCACTATGATTCAGTGGGGTTTACCCTTAGGATGCAAGAACAGTTCAACATTTGCATGTCTCACATTTATACAAAGGATTGTTATGCAGCTGTAAAAATGAAGGAACTCTTACGCTTTGAGATAGCATGGATGGGCCTGGAAATTATTATGCTAAGCAAAATAAGCCAGTCAGAGAAAGACAAATAACATATTATCTCACTCATATGCGGAATCTAATGAACAAAATAAACTGACAAACAAAATAAAACCAGAAACATAGCTACATGGAACAGACTGACAAGTCTCAGAGGGGAGGGGCGTGGGGTAACTGGAAGAGATTAGCCCAAAAACATACATGAATATATGCAGAGCCCATGGACACAGAAGGCAGGGGCACGGGGCTGGGTGGAGGGAGGCAAAGGAGGGAAAAATGGGGACATCAGTAACAGCGTCAACAATAAAAAATTCTCTAAATCTAAAAGAAAGTTGTTTTAAAAAATAAAAATACCTTCCAATATTAAAAAATCAGTACGACAAATCGCATTAATAAAATGAAAGTGAATAATAAAATATTCATAAATAAAAGGGCCTTAATATTTATTTATTTATTATATAAATAATAATAATAAAATGGGCCTTGAAACACCCATTCAAAAGAATGTATGCACCCCAATGATCACAACGCAATTTACAATAGCCAAATATTGGAAACAGCCTAAGTGCCCATTAGTAAATGAGTGGATCAAAAAGCTGTGGTATATTTACACAATGGAATACTACACAGCAGAAAGAAAGAAGGAACTCCTACCCTTTGTGACAGCATGGATGAAACTGGAGAATATTATGCTGAGTGAAATATTATGCTAAGTGCCAGGTGGTGAGAGACAAATACCATATGATCTCACCTGTAAGTGGAACCTAATCAACAAACAAGTGAGCAAAATAGAACCAGAGACGTGGAAATAAAGAACAAACTGACAGTAACCAGAGGGGAGGGGAGGTAGGTAACAGGGGAAATAAGGGGAAGGGTCAAGTCAAGGAACATGTATAAAGGACCCAGGGACAAGGACAATGGCAGGAGAGGTAGGACTGAATGTAGGAGGTGGGATGGGTAGGACAGGGGAGAGCAATGCAGGAAAAATGGGGACAACTGTAATTGAATAGCAATAATTTTTTTTTAATAAATAAAATGAAAGTGAAAAATCAAAACAGAAGACTCTGTTATCTGGCTGCTGCCCACATAGCCAGACGCATGTTTCAATAGTCATTGTCTGCCCTGCATTTTTCTTCAGATTTTAATAACTATTTTTCATTTCCTAAGTTCCCTTACAATTTAATGAATCTCCACTTTTAATCTTCTGTGGGCTCTTCCTGGTGTGTACATACCCACTCTCCACTTCAAATAACTGCTATCTTCCTCTTAGATTCACTATAATGATAGGTTTTTCTGTGAAGAATTTATTATTCTCAAGAAGTGGTGAATAACTTTTGAATCCATGTCATAGGATTGCAGTGCTATATCTATGTTGCCCTTATTTATGTCCTGTCCTCAGTTTAGACTCTGAGCTCCTTATGAGAAGAAAAAATGGTTTACTATTCATCCATCCCCAAAATATATTTTAGTGCCTACCTTACAGTAATTACTTTATATTTGTAGGAAATTGCAAAACCAGATGGTTGAGTAAAACAAGCAGATAATTCCAACATGATGACAAAATGAGAAGAAATAAAACAAGTGGAAACGCTATTGAAACGGGGAGGCCCCATGACAGCAAGCCGATACCAGAGAAGACATGGGGGGAGAAAGAAGAAGATATTTTAGTGTATCCAGAATCTTCCTCTAGAATCATAAATGAAGTAGTTATTAGCGGGGTTGCCTGCTTGCTAGAGACAATACCTAAGGAGAAGTGACCTCCCCATGGGAGGAAAGAGTCCAGAGAGATAAGAACTCCAAAGGAGGCTTCCAGAGCCAAACCTGGCACAAGCTGGCATCCTGGTTTCCCTCTTTAGCTCCAGAGAACCAAATCTCTCAGGGAGCAGAAAGACAAAAGAATCTCCATTGATGAGGCTCTTGAGAATTCAGTGCCTAAAGCCACATAAACTCAAAATGCTTCCACCTTACATCTATTCAAGCCTTCTTTCCTAATCTCAAGTAATAAGAAAACAGAATTGTTTCTTTCACAAAGTGGGTCTATCTGCCTGCCCTTGTGAGAGGAAAAACTTCTAACTTCATCAATCACACATGAGCGAAACAGCGTCAATGAACTTGGGCTCTTCCTTGGATGGTCCAACGCATCTTTAAAAGTATTAAGGAATGTTGTATGACGTTAGTAGACCCCTCCCCTTCCCCCCTCTAGGCCTTGGGATGAATACACAGTCGCACGGTTTTCGTTTTCCCAGCTGGCGGAGGTGACACACGCAGACTTCCAAGGGCTCCCCTCTGCACTATCACAGTTTCCTTGTGTTGTTCAGAATGCCTGGCAGCCTTATTGGACCAGGCTCAGGATTACTGGGTCAGTGGGTGAAACATGTCTTCCTTTGCTTTTAGCCTCTTGTATTAAGCTCTTTGCTAGATTGCAATGGTGAAGGCCCTGCCTTTATTTCCCCTCTGGCCACTCATTCCTAGATGCTATCCAAGTGTTCCAAGGTATTGCTTGGGAACCAGGATGCTAGCCTCTGGCCAACAACAGCAGCATGGTCACAGAGTTCTTCCTGTGCTGTCTCCTGCAGCATTGTTACCATTCTTTTAATAGTTGGATGGGCAGGGACACTGGTAATTTCCCTCAGCACCTCCTACCACAGTAGCCCTTGCTCACAGATCCTAAATCAATATGGGTGTTCTGTCAATTGCCAGCTGCGACTTCTCCAGTGATGCATATGGACCTAATATATGCTTTGTGATGTGATATGCTTTTTGATTTGTATGCTGTAACAGCAATTTCCTATTACCCAGTTAATGATTATGCAGGTAAAAGGCCACAGGCCTCTTTTGAGCGCTAATATTTTGATACACATTTAGGTAGGTATCTCTCAAAAAGAAAGGAAGGAAAGAAGGAAGAAAATGCAAAGGACATAAAGAATAGTGCTTAATTATAGCATTTGCCAATTTCCATAGCATAACTCTTCTCGACTTACCTAATTTCAAGCTACCGATACACTTCACTGAGCATGAAGCTGGGACAGGATTAGCATAAACAGTCCTCATGACCCATTGTGAGCTGGCCAGTAGCAGCACCCCAGCGCCCTAGTGTCTTTGGGTTAGGTTTGGAAAAGGAGTAAAGAAAGCACTTGTTGCAGTTTTGCAGTCTTTTCTCAAGGGTGACTGGCCTCATCATGTGAGAACCTGGGTTGTCAGTAAACTGTCTCAGGTCAGAGAGTCAAGTGAGAGATTATGGCTCTTCATTTTGGTGACTCAGGTCAAGTATTTCTTTCTGAGAACTAGAGTTTGGAGGAGTTTTTGTTTGTTTTGTTGTTTTTGTTGTTGTTGTTTTTATACAAATTGGACAGGCCTTTGCTAAGCTGCCAGTCACTTTTTTTCATGGAGACACCATACTAAATTTGTCTTTTCTATTCAAATGCTGTCTGCCTGTCCCACACCAACTTTTAATTTACATTCTCATCCCAGTTTGGTGGTCAAATAGTATGATTTATTTGAAATATCTTGAGCACAGCCTCCAGTTTAATTAACTTCTGCATTTATTTCCTTGATACCTCTTCCTAGAGAGCGCTTACACCCTACTCTACCTTTAAGGCTTGGTACAATTATGAGCTTATAAGCACACTCTTCACTTGAAGAACTGACTATATTTTGATCCTTTCACCGCATTTCAGTAGCACCTCACGCCATTGCATTCATCTCTTTTTACTTCTCTTTCCCTGTTTCGACTGTGAGCTCCTTAGCAAAAAGAACACTCTCTTACACTTTTTTCCATCACCAGGGCATAGCTTAGGGCTTACCCTATAGTAACCGCTGCATACGCATGGCACTAATTCCTGGAAAAACAAATGGTTAGGTGATGTTAAACAGATACTGCCTATAATGAAGGAGAAAGGAAAAGCCGGGGGGAAGGAGGAGCGCTGTTGAGAAGGGGCGCTTTGGTGGCTGTGAGCCAACACCGGAGAATGCAGGTGGGGAAAGGAGCTGTTGGACATCCAGACTCTCTTCCAAATCGAGGATTGGACAATGACCGCGGGGCACTGCCATAGTGATGAGAGCACTTTACAGAGCTGACCCCCTCCCGGGGTAACGAAGCTGAGCGGGGTAAGGGGTGACCATGGGACGCCGAAGCTGTTCTCTAAGAGCAAAATTGGGACACGTTTGCCCTGCTTTTTCTCTTTTTGCTCCAGAGAACTAAGTGTCTTCAGGGAAAAAGAGAGAGAAAAGACTATTTCATTAATGAGACTCATGGGAATTCGGCCCCTAAAACCATACAAATTAAATGCTCCTGCTATATCCATGAAAGTTTAAGTTCCTAATCTCAAGTTGTAAGAAGACACAGTTGGATCTTCCAAAGCCTTCATGAGTAGGGCCGTCTCCCTTCTCTTCTTGGGGGCATAACTTCTAACTTCATCAACCATCCATGAAAGAAGCTGGATCAGTGATCTCAGACTGTTCCCCAAGAACATCTGAATGAGCCATTGCATCTTCTTAAGAGTGGGGAGAATGTGGTACAGAGTGAGAAACCCGTTTCACTGGTAGTTACTTTGGAGGCATCAAGGCATCAAAAGGGTTAATACATTAAAAAGTGCTGTTAATTTAAAGACATAGATTCTGGGGGGACATTCTAGAGATACTAAAACATCTTGTTTCTCTGATCTGCCTCCCTTGGTTTGGGTGCTTAATCAAAGATTTGGTCTTCCATTCCTCAGCTGCATTCTTATTTGTTTTTCCGTTTGTCTTTACTTTCCCATCATTGGGAGTATTTGTTTCTCTTCATTCAACTATTTGTGCTTTTAGTCCTTCAACAAACCTTTTCAGCAATTCATGTATTGTAGGCAGTAAATTTTATTCTGGGCATAAAGAAATGAGTAAGATATTGTTTGTTCTCTGAAGGTACTCACTGTGTAGTATGACAAGAGCTGTAAGGACAAATAAATGCAATATCCTGAGTTGAAATCTGCTGAAGTGTATTCAAAGGAGATGCCTCTTCAATGTGAGGTTAGTGAGGGCTTCACAGACAAGCTTACAATTGCAGTGAGTCTTGAAGTAGTTATTGAAGTTCTGGGTGGACAAAAGGCATGAGCACTCCGGGATGAGACAGCAGATGAGGAAATGTGGGGTTAAGCTACAAGGTAGGTATGTTTACAAAATTGCAGATATTTTAAAATATCTGACCAACAATCTGATACGGAGGATGCAAAGCAAAAAATGAACTTAGCCAGGTAGGCGACAGTCAGATGAACAAAGAACCTTATATGTTGGTTACAAGATTGAAATTTTATTCTGAAATTTGGGGAGAGGAAGTGCGGGTTTTATGTAAACGGTTAACAATACCCCCTAGGCTGCAACTCTATTAACTATAGTATTGCTTCCCTACAGTGTCTGTTGGCTTTAGTTTTACAAACCCTAGCAATTTCCAAAACGTCATAGTTCAGCATCTCCTCCTCTGTCCCCTTCATCGAGGTTGTTTCACACATCTGTAAGAGAGATTGTTTTTCACATTCTGCATTCCATTAGGGACTCTCCCTGCAACTGCCTAAATAATTTCTTTTGTTTGCATACATTTTTTTCACACTCCATGCTGTAAAGTTCGGTGTTTCCTTGACCAATGCCTAATATCATGTATCCACATTTATAATATCATGCAGAATAATGACACTGCTCTAAAAATTCCCTGTGCTTCATCTATTCAACTGTCCCTCTCTATGGCTACTACTGATGTTTTTATTGTCTTTATTGATTTGCCTTTTCTAGAATGATATATAATTAGTATATACACTATGTAACTTTTTCAGACTAGCTTACCTATAACTTAGATAGAAGCTTTTAAGATTTATCATTGTCTTTCTGTGGCTTGATAGTTCATTTCTTTTTAACTCTGCATAATTATTTTATAGAGGTACCATATTTTTTTCTCCATTCACTTATTTAAGGAAATCTTGGTTGATTCCAGTGTTTGAAGATTATGAATAAAGCTAATATAATGATTTGCAAGTCATTTTGTTTATTTGTTTGTTTGTTTTTTTATGAACACAAGTTTTCAAATCAGGTGAGAAAATACTTAGAAGTGTAAGTGCTGGAATTGTAGGAGCATCTTTAGCTTTCTATGAAACTGCCAAACTGCCTTTCAAAACAGCTGAGCCATTTTGTATTCCCACTAGCAATGAATGAGAATTTGTGCTGCTGCACATCTTCCCAACAATTAGTATCATCAGGGTTGTTTTTCTTTTTTTAATTCAGCAATTCTAATAGCTGTGTAGAAGGTATGGTTATCTTCTATCTGTATATATTTTTGGTGAGATGTCTGTTTGGATCTTTGGCCCTCTTTTCATGTGCTTTGCAAACATTGTCTGCCAATCTGTGGCTTGTTTTTTGACACTGTCAATAGAGTCTTTCATAGAGCAAAATTTTTAAATTTGGTAAAATTAATAATTTATTAATTTTTCATTAATAAATTATGTTTTTGCCCTGGCCAGTGTGATTCAGTTGGTTGGAGCTTCATCCCATAAACTGAAAGGTCACGGGTTCAGTTCCCAGTCAGGGCACATGCCTAGGTTGCGGGTTCAATCCCCAGTCAAGGCATGTACAAGAAGAAAAATAATCTATGTTTCTCTCTCATGTCGATGTCTCTCTCTCTCTCTCTCTCTCTCTCTCTCACCCCCCACCAGAAGCAATGAAAAAGGTCCTTAAAAAATTAAATAAATCATATTTTTGGTGTTGGATCCAAAAATGTATCTTTTTATTCTAGACAACATACTTTTTCTACTATGTTCTCCCCAGAAATTTTATAGTTTGCAGTTTATATTTAACTGCATATATAGTCTGTGTCTATGTTTATTTTTATTTTTGTATGTGAATATCCAATTATCACAGCACTATTTTTATAAAAAGACTATCATTTCTCCATTGAATTGTTTCTGGTCCTTTGCCAGTGATCAGTTTACTGCGTGTTTGTGGGTCTCTTTTCAACTTTCTTTTCTGTTCCATTGAGTTACATGTCTATTCTTTCCTCAGTATGATGCTGTCTTGATTACTGTAGATTTATAGTGAGTCTTAAAATTGGGCTGGGTGAATCTTTCAACTTGGTTCTTTTTCCTGTATTCTGTTGCTTATTCTAGATCTTTTGCCTTTCCATGTAAACTTTAGAATCAGTTTCTTAATATCCAAAAGTAGTTTTCTGGGATTTTCATTTGGATTGCATTAAATATATAGAAGGAATTGACATCTTAAAAATATTGTCTGACTATCAACATGGGATAATATGTCTCATTTATTTAGCTCCCTTTTTATTTCTTTCCTTAAAAATTTGGAGTTTTCTGTGTGTATATTGTTAGATTTCTACTTATGTATATTTTGGGGAGTACTATTTTAAATGAGAATGTTTTTCCCTGCATTTCTTATCCCAATCAGTATTGTCAGCAAATAGGAAGCAGCTGATTTTTGGTGCATCTACTGTAAACTGCAAACTTGCAATTGTTGCTTCCAGTAGTTATTTGGTTAATCTTTAGGATTCTTTATGTAGATATTCATGTCATCTGGGAACAAAGCCAACTTTATTTCTTCCTTCTACATGTGTATTCATTTTATCTCCTTTTTTGGGGAGGAGGGTCTTACTGTGCTAGCTAAGACTTTTGGTACAGTATAGATTAGGAGTGATGAGAGGAGACATCTTTGTCTTGTTCTCAGTTGTAGGAGTAAATTGTTTGGTTTCTCACTATTAAATATGACATGTGAAGGACATTTGTAGATATACTTAATCAAGCTGAGGAGATTCTTTTCTACTTTGTTAAGAGTTTGAATCATGTCTGTTTGGTTTTCTTCAGTGTTTTTTCTCCTGCCTAATTTATAAGATTATATAAATTTTTTTCTTTAGCTTGTGATGTGGTGAATTACATGGATTAGATATTGGAATGTGGAAATAACCTTGCATTCCTGGAATAAATCCTGCTTGACCATGGTATATAGTTTTCTCTTCCATTGTTAAATTCAATTTGTCAATATTTTGTTGAAGACTTTATGTTTTATTTACATTAATGAAAACTATGATTTTACAGTTTGCCTTTCTTTACATTTCTACCTGGTTTTGCTCATAGAATGAGTTAGAAAATATTTCTTTCCTTTGCCTCTATTTTCTGAAGGAGTTGTCAAGAATTGGTACCATTTCTTTTTTAAATATTTGGAAGAAATTACTGTTATATCATTAATGTTCTTTATTGTGGTAAAATATCTTTCATACAAAATTTATCATTATAACCATTTTTAAGTGTACAGTTCACTGACATATATGCTAAAGGCACTAGATCTAAAAAAAATATGTAATAGTTAATGGATTAAATGTTTTTTAAACATCAATCACATCATTTCTCTTAATTTCTTGATCACTGCTTCAGGCTAAACTTGTGATGCTCTTGTCTGTGTTCCAACAGTTTCATCAGTTACATGGAACAAAGAAATCAAACTCGTGTTTCAGAATTTATCCTTCTGGGGCTCTCAGGAGAGGCAAAGTTGCAGACACTCGTCTTTTGTCTGTTCCTATCCATGTATCTAGTCACCTTCATTGGAAACGCCCTCATTATCTTGGCTATTATCACTGACTCCCACCTCCACACACCCATGTACTTACTTCTCTCCAACCTGTCCTTTTCTGATATTTGTTTCACCTCCACCACCATCCCAAAGATGCTGGTGAACATCCAGACACAGAGCAAAGCCATCACCTATGAAGGCTGCATCACCCAGATGTATTTATACATGCTTTTTGGAGGATTCAACACCATCGTCTTGACTGTGATGGCCTATGACCGGTTTGTGGCCATCTGTCACCCCCTGCACTACGTGGTCATCATGAACCCCCGGCTCTGTGGCATCCTGCTCCTGGCATCATGGGTACTGAGTGTTCTGGATTCCTTACTACAGGGTTTAATGACTCTGCGACTGTCTTTTTGCACAAAGATGGAAATCCCTCACTTTTTCTGTGAACTTAACCAGATGGTCCACCTTGCTTGTTCTGACACCTTCCTCAATGACCTAGTGATGAATTTTGCAGCTGGACTTCTAGGTTTTATTTCACTTACTGGTATCCTTTTTTCTTACTACAGAATAATAACCTCTGTTTTGAGAATTTCATCAACTGGAGGCAAGTATAAAGCATTTTCCACTTGCGGGTCTCACATCTCAGTTGTTTTCTTGTTCTATGGTACAGGCCTTGGCGTGTATCTTGGTTCTACTGCTACCCAAAATTTAAAGGCAAGTGCCATAGCCTCAGTGACATACACTGTGGTCACACCTATGCTGAACCCTTTTATCTACAGTCTTAAAAACAAAGACATAAAACAGGCCCTTAAAAAACTCTTCAGCTGAAAAACATTCTCTGCGTTCAGTGTCCTGTTTCAGATTAGAGAGTTGGTCATTAGTAATGGCTTAAAGTACTTGAATTAAGTCACAATATTTTATCAGTTTGTAGAAATATATCTGCATTTGTGAGTATCTTATTTACATGGCCTATTCTTATTTTTTAATACATTATAAATAACCACTTCTTCAGTGTTTACTTTAGAAAAATGTTGAGCTTCCTGATTGTGTTCTGTGAGTATAGAAAATACATTTAATGCTTGATTTTTGCAGTAAAATATTTAATGCAGGAGACTGAGTACTTATTAAGTTATAGGAAAGGTGGAGGAATGAAAGTGTGTTGTTGCTCCTGTCAAAAGCAGCTGCCTCTCAGATTACCTGCTTTAGGAAAAAAATAATTTGCCATATCAAAGACTGTGTACCAACAGTGAAGGTCAATGTTAACTATTTCAAGATGACAGCACATGTGGAACTGAAATCAGCATTTAATTAACTCTATAGTAATTCACATTTAGTCTCCAAGATCTAACTCTCTCTGGCAGGTTGAAAACATAAATTCAGTGAAGATAAAAATAAAAATTACAATCTGTGACCCTTCTATTATTTTGTCTCTAATCTATGTAATCCCCCTAAATAGGCATTATTCCTTTTCTATTAATGTTTTGATAGGCAGGACTACTTTTAGGACACATCCCTTGTCAGCTCCTACTATAATAGCCCTCACTTACAGATCATAAAAGTAATGCAAATATTGTCAATTGCCAACTTTGTCTTTTCTAAATAGTCGTCTCAAAAATAAAAATAAAAAAAGGAAGGAAAGGAGGAAGGATGGGTGAAAGGGAGAGAGAAATAAAGGAATAATAGAGATATGGAATAAAGAAAGAAATAGAAATGATGAAAAATAGTAAGAATAAAATAAAGAAAGAAAAGCACTTATGTCTAACAGTTGCCAGGTTCTGCAGTATGAGTACTCTGTGGCCACTGTTAAGCAACCAATGTGTCATAATATAAACAAGGAGTGGGACAGAGATGTGCACAGTGGGCCCCCAGAGAATGTCATGGGCCAGCCCTCTCACAGCACTGCCAGTGGGTAAGGTAAGGAGGGAAACGAGGCATGGATCTGTGCAGTCTTGTATATGTCCTGCCTATCTGATTGTTCCCTGACCTGAGATTCTAAAATCCCTATCTTTCATTTTCTTTCTGTAACCTCTCTAGTGCAATTAAAGGAGCGAGCACAGTCCACGTTTCTTAAATTCTGATTCCCAGCAACATCGTTAATCACGTAACTACACCAAAATCTTACATCCAATAAGCAGTTCTTTCTGGGTGACTGCAGTTGATAAATCATACAACAGATTTTGCACTGAAAGCTGTGGACCACTAGCCTACTATTTTTCAATGAATACAACATTACCATTGTCCTCAGTGTTTCAGGTTGAAATGTCAGTTCTCAGATTTCTATCTTGGAAGATATGGGGTTTTCTTTTCCAGTCCATTCTTGTATCAGATCATTTACCTGTCTAGGTTATTTTCTCTAAGTAGAAACCTCTTTAAAGGATTTTGAGCAGAATCTCTGTATGTGCTCACAAAATTGTCGCACGGCCTGCTAGTATACTTTTCAATGACATAGAAGGACTCTCAGAAGAATATTATAAAATGGACAAGCTAAGAAAGTTGACTTTTTTCTGCTATCCTCAGAAAGGTGGTGAAATCATAAGGACTTCACTGAAATTGTTGACTCCATGAACACACCATGTTTTCTGAAATCCAGGTGTTAGGAGGTACTTGCCCTAAGTGTCAGCTCAAGACCTGCTGTGCTGCTCGATCTGCGCTTGTTGAATAAATGACAGGCACTCACTTCTTAGCACCCGTGCAGCTTCTCACGTGGTAATTTGCCTCCACGCCTTTCAAATGACTCATCATCTCTCCAATTCGCAGAATGGATGAAACATGGAATCTGCCTCACTTTTGCCTCCTGAGTCCACCGTATGCACATCCAAAAAATAACCCAGTAATCACACATAAAACTCTGGGTTCCAGTGAGAGTGCAGATACACTTCCCCAATTAGTGTCTCTGCAGTGCAGGTACACCGACCAGGGGAGAGAGGAGTGGGTGCTGACTGTCAGTCCACCGTATTCCCACACCCTGATAACATGTAGACTTGATGATGGATGACAAACTTCCTTTACATTGTGTGTGTATCTTGGGAGGGGATGGTTATTCTTTCAAAATTCCATAAAAACATTTCCCTGTTTTCTTTCTAATAAAAGATGACTGGCAAATTATGGAGTAAAAGATAAGAGACTTTTATATTTTAGTTAACTTTATTGGGGTGACATTGGTTAATAGAGTATACAGGTTTCAAGTGTATATTTCTATGACACATAATGTGTATACTGCATTGTGTTCCCATCACTGAAAGCCAAATCAGATTCCATCACCGTATATTTGACCCCTTTTAACATTTACTACCCTCCTACCCGTCTTCCCACTGGTAATCGCCATACTGTTGTCTGTGTCTATGAGTTGGGGTTTTTTTTTTCTTGTTTATTCATTCATTGCTTTCAGTTTTATATCTCACATGTGAGTGAAATCATATGTTTCTTAACTTTTTCTGTCTGACTTATTTCATTTAGCATGGTATTCTCAAAGTGCATCGTATTCATGTTGTTGCAAAAGGTAGTATTTCATCTTTTCTTATGGCTGAGCAGTAGTCCATTGTATATATGTCCCATGCCTTCTTTATCCAGTCCTCTACCGAAGGACACTCCAGTTCTCTCCATGTCTTGGCCACCGTGAATAATGCTGCAGTGAACATAGTGGTGCACCTGAACTGACACATCTCCCAAGAAGACACAAAAATGGCCAAAAAATACATGAAAAGATGTTCAACTTCACTAGCTATTAGGGAAATGCTAATTAAAACGACAATGAGCTACCACCTCACACCGGTTAGAATGGCTGTTATCAACAAGACAAGTAAAAACAAGTGTTGGAGCGGTTGTGGAGAAAAAGGAACCTTCATTCACTGTTGGTGGGAATGTAAACTGGTACAGCCACTATAGAAAACAGAATGGAGATTCCTCAAAAAATTAAGAGTAAAGTCATCATATGACCCAGCAACCCCTATTCTGGATATTGACTTGAAAATTTTTAAAATATTTATTCACAAAGATAGTATGCACCCCTATAATTCTTCCACATATTCCTATTGTTTTTCTTTCTTTTTTTATTGCAGTGATATATATAAAACATAAAATGTCCCATTTTAACCATTATTAAGTGTGCACTCAGTCAAATAAGTACATTCACAATGTTGTCCAAATATCACTACCTTACATTTTCATTATACCAAACAGAAATTCTGTATCTATGAAGCAATTACCCCTCATTTCTGTAACCTCATCTTGCCATAATCTCCTTTTCTCTATGAATTTGCCTGTTACCATCACAGTATTTCCACCTCATCATTTTATCTATGGCTTTGATATAATATGGTCATCACATTATTCTAGGATGACCTTTCCCACAGGGTGGGCCTGATTCTGGACGTCACTTGCCATAAACCCTGCACTCACTCTCCACTGATTTTAGAATCAACAATCCTGTACCAGAATATAAGACTCTCTGTCACCTGGTGGCCACCCACATAACTAGGCTCATGTTTCAGTTTCTATCTTCTGCCCCTCATTGTTCATCCTGTACTAGTAGCTATTTTTCATTTCCTAAATACACTTTAACATTTCATTATACTGCCCAATGGCTTTCCTGTAGCATTTTCTGCTGTGTGCTTCTTTCCTTCTGCATCTGGAATATAACTCCACTTGTCCTTCCCACTTCAGTGCAACTCTGAGCTTGTCTGGGGAGCCTTCACTGACCTGCAAGAAGAGTCGGCTACCTGGGGCTCATTTCAGCAAGATCATACTAACACCTCACAGCATTGCATTTATTTACTTACATGACTTTGCCCAAGACTAAACTATGAGCTTCAGAGAAGGAACATCTTACTATTTTCTTCATCCCCAGAATACATTTTAGTGCTTACCATAAAGTAATGGCTTAATAAATACTTGTAGAGGCTACAGAAACAGATGGTTGAGTGAGGTAAACAGATACGTCCTACACAGTGAGAAATGAGAAACAGTGCAGAAAGGGCAGGGAGGCCCCATGACAGAGGCTAACACCAGAAAGGACAGATGGGAGAAAGAGGATATTCTGGCATATCCAGGATCTTCCTGCAGATTCAGGAATACAACATTCATTGTCGGGTGTCTTTGTTATAACTCCAAGAAAGGGCAGGGAGATGGGACCACCCATGAGACCTCTGGAAGACACAACTGTGTTTTCTCATGATCGGAGGTTGGTAGAGTACACGTGAGAGCATTTAATGGAAGCATTGAAGGGTTTCTGCGGCTTCAGGAGCTGAATTCCCGTGTGCCTCTTAGTGAAATCTTCTTTTGTCTTGCTTTTCCCTAAGAGATTTAATTGCCTGGAGCTGGGAGAGAAAAACAGAATGCAAACTTGTGCCAGATTTAGTCCTGGACACCTCTTTGCATTCTGATCTCTTTGGCCTCTTTCCTCCAAGAAGGAGGTCACCACTCTTTAGATATGGATGTTGTAACTACATACCTATCAATAATTACTTTAAATGTAGAAGGATGAAATGCTCTGATCAAAAGACATAGGGTGGCTGAGTGAATAAGAAAACAAGACCCAAGTGTCCACTGATAGACGATGGATGAAGAAGACGTGGTACATGTATACAATGGAATGCTACTTGGCCATACAGAAGAATGAATTTTTATTCTTTGTGACAACATGGTTGGACCTAAAGCGCATTATGCTAAAGAAAATAAGTCAGATGCAGAAATCAAGGACTGTATATTATCTCTGTCTAAAAAGCAGAGTTTATAGACTCAAAGAACAGGTTTGTGGTTGCCATAGTGGGGGTGGGGACATAGGAGAAATGGATGGAGAGGGTCAGATGGCACAAACTTCCAGTTATAGA